TTTCAAGGATATCTTGGTGGAATTCTTTTCGATTAAACATAGAATTAAGCAAGTATTTCAAACCTACATACAGTAAAAATATTTCCTGTGACCAGCTCCTGCAGAATGAGGACCATTATCTTAGTTCGAACAAGCGTTGAGTCTAGGAGTGACATCTATTATTTTAGATATAAGCTTTGTCAAGGTGTAAAGGTTTATTTACACAGATGTCAATCTGAGCCTAAAAGATCGAACGCGGAGTTTCCCGAGGGTCCTATCAGAACGACATTGATCATTTATAAAATCAAAGAAACGCCACCAAGCTTGATATACAGACCTTGGAATCACTCATACAGAAACACGCCCGCATTGGACTCCGTAAAGAGAAAATTTTCTTTCATGATGACTTATTACACCGATTGATTATGGAAATTTCGAACTCCTTGTCTCCATTCACTTTTCATCACATGGGACTTTTACAGGGTTTTCCTCGTCGCCAGCATCCCAGCCTTTATTTCCCAATCTTCGTCCCACCCATGATATTCGGATAGATTCGAGACCTTTAGGACTACAGGGATATAACGTTAGGCAAGCATCAAGATGGCGCTGGTGGTGGTGTCGGAGGACATCAGCAAGATGATGACCCCTGTCAGCCTGAGCCGGAAGGACTCCGCGTCGTGTCTGGACGACTGGGTCGGTCGGGAACTCGTGCACGCACCCAAGACGTCACCGTCAGCGTCGAGTGCTGTCACCAGGGTCGACGCCATCGCGACCAGAGCACCCGTCGATGTCACTGACGTATCTGGCAAGCGGGTGAAAATTCTGCAAACTGAGTCACTCATCCTGTTGTTCGTGGTTTTCACCACGTTCGTGGCTCTCGTGAGTATTTGAGGCGCCATCGAAAGACGGTAAAGGATAATTTTTGGGTTTTTTGGAGGTGCTGATTTCGAGGTATTTATTATGCAATTATATTTCGTTTCGAATTTAATTTTTTTCAATATTCTCAAGGTCCTTGCGATGTAGCCAAAATAATGTTCGGTTTACATAATACTGTTTATTTTATTTTATGGCCATGGGGTTTCTGGTCCCGATGAATTTTTGTGACTTGATTATGCTAAATATTGTACTGCATTATTGAAGATGAGATTTGACCTTTGGGCACTAGAGTCGGGACATTTTTGCCAAAGGTATTTCCCGAGGATTCAGTAACGAAAAAACCAATAGATTGAGTGAAATAGCCCAAGTCTGGGGATTTTTGGTTGTTCTGTTTACTCTAAGCACAGAAAATGTTCTGAACATAGCATGAAATCCAGGAGACTTTTTTTTACTACATTTGTCTTCTTTCACACTTTTTAAATTTCATATATTCATACCTTAAGATTAACATATGGGTGGTCTTTGAAAAGAAAATAGCCATGCAAAATACAGCTGTAATATTTTTATACGACCTATTCATCTCAAGCTGTGTTTTTGTGTCCTTCTGTTCATTCACAGTTTACAAAAAGACACCATAAGAAGAAATGGAAAGGTTATTCATTGCATTCTGCTGATTGGTTTTTTTTTTTCAACGACCACTAATTTTCAAAAATTTCGCTTCAGTTTTTCCAGTTGTAAATCACGAATACCATAATTCCAAGCATTAATCCTTAATCAATGAAAGATCGCATGCGACACAGTTATTTTCTTGAGTTATATTTCTGGGTCGATATTTCATCAAGAATTGTAATTAATGATTTTACAATATAAGCGTAATTGGGAGTTTCAAGAGGAGCAACATTTACTCTTTAAGTCTGTGTCCTTGAATCGATTCGGAATCTTATCAAAATTTAGCACTGAGTGAAGAATTTAGATCGACTTTCAAGGGTTAAAAATCCATTCAATTTTTGAACAATAAAATCCTGCCAATGTATTATATTTTCTCTCGTGTTTCCTTGTTTTTGCACAGGGAGGTTCTTTGTCCATTGTTGGCCCTACATTGACGGACCTGGGATATCTCCTGGGACGTCAAACAAAGGATCTTTATGTGCTGTTCGTCGCCAATTCTATCGGCTACGTAGTTGGCACATTAATTAGTAAGTTGATTGAAATTTAGAAGAAGTTTGATCGATGTTCAGAGATTTAATTTTATTGACGCTCGTGCGCCAAATGTATTGTTGGTGCCTCACCTAAAAGCTGCATGCCTTGATCCCGTTATTCCAAAAATGAAGTAAACAAGTGCTGTGGGTTTTTTCCCATTCCAGTTCGACCAATTTCTTTGGACCTGTTGTAAGCATAAACAAGAATAACATTTTGTGTATGTCCCTTGAAATAATTGAGGTCTAAAATGCTGTAGTTCTTAAAAAAAAACTTGGGCTGGATGAGAAGCAATCATCGTTAAATTTTTGACTCTTTCGCGTGAAAAAAGCAAGAAAATTCAATGAATAGCATTGCGTAAAATTTCAGTCGATTCAACGTGCGTGATATGCATCAATATGACATTTTTCGATGGATTCCGTGTGCTTTCATTCCACGTTCCGTTCGTAGGTTTGATATCCTACAGAGTTTTGCCAAAGTTGATTTGCATGTTCGTCGCGTCCATCGGGCTGGGAGCCTCGCTGATCTCCATCGCATTTTGGCGAGACTTGCTCCTC